ATTGCAACAAAATTGTATCAAATCATTATAAATGAAGTTTTTTTGTTTTTTTTTTCCCTAATGAATATGCTCTGGAGGGATTTTATATAAATGCAATGCAATGCAATACTACCATGAGATAGGCCTCATTAATGGTTGACTACATAGCAAATAAAGTTATATTAATTTTTTTTTTTTTGATCAACTAAATAAAGAAATTTACAATGTAGTAACACAAGGCCGCACATGGGTCTCAACTAAACATTTATTTTCTCGAACTTCAGGTTATCTTTTTCTTCTTTAGTTTTTTTAATCTGCTTTTTGGTCTTTTACCCGAACGTATCTTTGTCTTATTCTTTATACCTTTCACATAAATATTATCTTCTTTGTTCATATCAGCATCATCAACCCCCTTCATAGATGATCCCTCGTAATGCTCTTTTCGACTCAGTATTGTTCATTCACTATTTCAGTAGTTTTCAACAGTGTATCTCTGCCAAACTCATAAGATTCATTACTTTCCGAAGCTATTGTTGTCAGCTTGTTGCATAACAAACTCAAATCTTTATAACACAAACTTAACTCTTGTTTTGGGTTATCCATATTGTGGTCCCGTCACACATTCCACTATAAAAATACCTAGTTTCGCATCTTTTGTCCACCTTTTCATAATATATTGATTTGGGGTCTTCAAAACATCATTTTTGTGAGGATTTTCAGTCCATGAAAGCATAATATTTTAGAAAAATCAATTCTTTTTGCAGCTGCGTGCAACTATCCTATTTGATGAATCATATTTGACAAAATAGTATCTTGAACTCTTGAGATAGCTAATCCGATGGTAAAAGAAATTTTTAAGAAAATAACATTATTTTCATTTTATATTACATGATAGTGATAAAAAAAAAAAAAAAAAATCAAATTTCTTGTCATTGCATGTAATTGTCCTATCTGATGAATCATAGTTGACAAAATGATACTTCGAACTCTCGAGAAAGCTAACTTGATATTTTTTATTTGTTTCAAGTCTTATAGTAACAACTCATACATAATATATGATTTCCCTAATTCCTTTTGGTATTTGCTTTGAAATCAGTCTGCACTATGCATATTGATGACATTCAATCAGATTTTTAAACTTTTCAAAATTTACCTGCAAGTTGTTTTTCAAACTGACATATCTTTTAGCGACACTATTAATACTTTCACTACGTTGTGTCATTGCAACATCAGTAAAAAAAAAAAAATTGATAACCATATACCAAAACTCTTTTTTTTTTTTTTTTTTTCACTTTGAATAAATTTCGCAACTAGATATTTTCCACTAGATTGCACCTCACTAACATTTCATCCTATTCATGCAAAAAATCACCCTCTTCGTTGAAATCGTAAATACATCTCCCAAAATCATGCGCAAAGGTTTTATGCTCAATGAAATACCACCCAAGTATATGGCAATATTTTGATAAATATGCCAAATGCACAACTCACAAAATATAATGGATTAGGGATACAATTGTTGTACAAAAATAGCTATATTACAAAATTATAACTTAAATGTATTAAACTATCTATGCATAATAGAAAACCTGTGATGAGTCACAGACTACCTTGAAGCCAATGCATTTGCCATTGTTTGATATTTATCTATCAAAATGGTAGTCAGCTTTCGTCCGTACATAGTGCTAGCGAATGTGTCAAACAACCACCGAAATAATGGAATAGTCTCGTCGTATAAAAGTGTTGTGCCAAAAACCATTATTTGTTTGTGGTGATTAATTAACATCGAAAAACAAGTCCAACTGACAATTTTCTCTGATCTTTCTATACATAACATAAACTACGTCTTCAAAATCAACATAATCTGATCTCATTCTCCCGTCAACCTAAAATATGTTTGTAATCATATCATCTTCATCTACTTGATGGAATAGAAGAAATTTGGGTCTCTACTTTGCATTCCTTGAAAATATTCTTGCACCCCTCAAGTGTTTCCCACCTTCATGTACTTTGTCGTCTTCACTTGCAAGTAATTTTTAATGTTCGGCCTTGTAAATCATAAGCTATCCCGACTACCGGCTTCCTTACCTATTAAATCATGTGACATTATTGGAGTAAGTCCCACGTGTTCGGCTATATCAATTTGACCAGCATGAACCTCATGTATCCTCCTATGCGACGGGAAAAAAAAATGAGTCTTTTGAAGACTAGTGAGCTAATGAGTATGTTCATAAATAAATTCAAACACTTCATATTTCTCATTATCTTTCAATCGAATTTTCATCATTGTCTTGCACCTAAATCTTGTTATTGCCTGTGGAACTCTTACATTATTTTTTTATCCTCTTCTCTTACACATTTGACACTACAATAAAATATTTCAAAATTTATTTTTCCTACTCGATCTCTATGCATTTTTTGTCTTCTCATGCCAGAACCGATTTTCCTAGCATAAGCTAAGTAAAATTGATAAGCGTTTTTTTCATTGTCAAACTCCTTTTCAATTTAAGGTATTTTTTCGAGAAAAATATAATGATTTTAGAACTTATCATCATTTTCCATATTTGTAAAGTCTAATCGACATGAAGACGAATATTTATTCATACTTAACTCATTAATATCCATTACCTGTAATATATATATATACACATTACAAATAAATAATAACAGTAAAAGAATATAAATATACAAAACAATAAAATAGCAAACCAATAAACTTACGATTAAAAAACTTAGAATTTTGGCCAAATGTTCAACGAACCGAATCTGAGTCTAAAATGGGAAAATTGAAATCTACGAATATAATTTTAAAAGTTGAAGATAATATTAAGTTCCAAATAATAAAAAAAGAAAATAAAAACATTGGGATTGAACTAAACCTGCTGGGTGAGGCAATTTTTGAGGAATATCTCTACAAGAATATTTACGAAAGAGAAATAGAACTATACTTGTTGGTGAATTTGGCAACGTCGGCATCAGTGGCGGTGGTGGCGTCGCTAGGGGTAGTGACAACGCCGGCAAACTTTCAATTTTAGGGGAAATTTTGGCTATGGGAAGGAAATAGAGTTATCAAGAGAAAAGAGATAGAGTGATTTAGAATTTAAATTATACTTTTTTTTTATTAAAACAATAATAATAAACAACACTACACACATTAGTTTTTTACGGGATTGACTGTGTAGACTAAGAAAACTCTCGACCGATGATCCCATTCAACGACAATTTCTCTGGCTAGACTCATATTAAGTGTAGCTGGCTCTCAACGTTAGAAGAATCTTGTTCTTTGGCCTGTAGGTTTTGGTCTAACAAAAATGTAAATCTCAAACCTTGTCGTTACAAATTACAATATAGAAATATGAAAGTATTCTTCAGTTAAATGATAAAGATCGATATATCTTTACCTTTTGTTTTTACCATCTCTATATAAATTTTATGATATTTAAGTTCAATGATCTTATTATTATTTATTATTATTATTTTCCCTAAAAAATATAATATATATTACATATATTAAAAATAGTATTTTATGTTTTTCCGTAGAAAATGATCCATTTGATAAGAGATATAGTATTTTGGGTAATGTAATTTAATAAATTAATTATATTAGTTATAATATTTTTTTTTATATATAAGTAATACTGTTAGTATTTTCAAAATAAAAATTACTCCATTTCGTCCCACTTAATTTGTTCACTATTTTTATTTTCGTCCGTCCCACGTAATTTGATATTTACTTTTTGAAAATATAATTATAGATTTTAATCACATTTTAAATTTATAATTCATACATATATTTTAATTAAACTATTTAGGCATCTTAATCTTAATCTATATATTATTTTTACTAATACACTTCTTAATTACTTACTAATTAAACAATACTTATAACTTTGAGACCTAAGGTGAAAAAATTAGCTGGAAAGAGGATATATGATCAAAATAAATTTAAAATAGGTGTTAAATATTTTAAATACTGTATCTCAATAAATATATAATGTAAATATCATTTTGTAAATAAAAAATATATACTCCCTCCGTCCCAAATGAAATTGACATTTTGGAATTTTGTAATAGATTAAGAAATAATATTATTTTATTAATTTGTGAAAGTGGGTAAGAGTTTTTGACATTTTTGTTTTGACTTTCTTTATGTACAAAGTAATTGTATGAGTAATGATATATTGTAATTTAAATAAAAGTATTTTGATTTTAATATATAATTATTTTTTGAAAAAATAGAAAAATTGTAAAAACGATACTTTTGAATTGTGACTAGTGAAGTAGTTATTTATCTATAATTAACATAAATAATTTTATAAAAAAACCAAGAGTTATAAATATAGATAAAATATTTGTTTATTGAGGAGATATAAGAAATAAGTGGGTTTTGAATTTGTGTATGTGTAACATGTTTAAAATTTAATTAAATTGATATATATTTATTAAGTATGTTTAAAATTGTTAAATTTATTAAACATAGAAATGAGTATGTTACGATAAAACATACCAAAATGGAAAATAGATCATTATTTTAAATTATAATCAAACAAATCTAAAATATGTTTGATTACCGATTGTATTATTGAGTTGAAAATTGAATAGTAAAAAAATAAAATTTGGTATAATACAAATAAATAACAAATATAAATATTTACTTATGATTAATAGTAATCAATTTACATTAAATATAGAATTTTGAATATATATAAAAATATATATTTGGTAAAATAAATAAATAAATAATTTTAAATCTATTTTGAGTGATTCAATGTGATGCAATAATAGTTAAAAACAAAATTAGAAGTATTGTGCCAATTTTGACCGAAAAGTCAACTAAACACAACACTAATATCCCAATACAGCTATTATTTGCTACTAATAATATATTCTAACTTGGAAAAATCTACACCGTACGTTTAAGTTTGAGGCCCATAAAATAAACGGCGTGGATCTTCCCATAGTAAATGGCCCCGCATCATTTAAAAAGGGTGGTCTATAAATACACACGGAAGCATATACGCTGCCTCTTTCTTGGCTTACATTTGCCGAAAGAAAAAATCGAGCGGTATCATCGGGGAAAAGTGAGCCGTCCGATCTAGGGTTTCTCTGCCATGCCGAAGAACAAGGGAAAGGGAGGTAAGAACCGGAAGAGAGGGAAGAACGAAGCCGATGATGAGAAGCGAGAGCTTGTCTTCAAGGAGGATGGCCAGGAGTACGCGCAGGTTATGCGTATGCTCGGAAACGGTAGGTGCGAGGCCACTTGCATCGACGGCGTCAAGCGCCTTTGCCATATCCGTGGGAAGATGCACAAGAAGGTCTGGATTGCCGCCGGTGATATTATTCTCGTCGGCCTCCGCGATTATCAAGTAATGATTCGTTGCTCTCTCTCTCTTTATTTATTTGTTTTTTTTCCTGTAAATTTTCAGGTCTAGATTTTGTTTTTGCTTTTTGATTAATATTTTTTGTTTCAATGAATGATCTGTTTTCTGGTTTAGATTTTTGTATTTGTTCCCCTTTCCTTCTATTTTAAATATGATTTTCGTTTCAGTAATTTCTAACTTGTTATGGTTTAGCAGGCTGTATGGTGTGGTGCTTTGCGTCGGAAAGATTACTAAATCAAATGAATTTAAAGCATCAAAAGACATAATAATATAGAAAAGTTTTTTATTTTATGAATTTTTGTACAGGTGCCGTTCTTGTTAAATTTTGATGTAGTTCTAATTCTTATTTGGTTTGAATTAGTTTGGTGAGATTAACTTATCAAAAGCCTCGACCTTCAGTTTCAGAAGTTTACACAACCTAATTTAAATATATATATATATATATGTATTGTCTCTGGTATTTCAGTATTTGTCATTATTGGCATAGTCATCCTCTAAACACTGATGGGAAAAAGTCTTTTTGCTCTTTGCTGATAAGATTTTTCTTCAAACTTTTAAAATTATGTGCAGAACAAATAATTTCACTAGGAGGGTTTTACATACAGATATGCCCTTGTAAAATACAGTTAAGGGAGGGTACAGCAGCATCACATAACATGTTTATAATTGAGGGATTTTTTTTTTTTTTTTGGGGGGGTGGGGGGGGGGGGGGTTTGGGGGTGTTAAGCGACTAAAGGTTCATAAGTAGTTGGATGACTATAAGATTACTATCTATTTGTCATTCATAACATCACTATAATTAAGTTATTAAGCCTTTTGTTATGGGACATGAAGCACTTAACTAAATCATTTCAATTGGGAGTGTATCTTGTGGCTTATATTTGCCTTTCTTCTTGCTTGTTATCAGGATGATAAGGCTGATGTAATCTTGAAATACATGCCGGATGAAGCGAGGCTTTTGAAAGCTTATGGGGAGTTGCCAGAGAACACTAGGCTTAATGAGGGTATTGCCGGTGGGCTTGACGAGGAGGACGATGGCCCAGGAGATGACTACATTGAATTTGAGGATGACATGGACAAGCTCTAGTGGCTCAGTGGTAAACTGGACTTTGTTCATTGTTGAGTTTGCAGTATATGGTTGTGTAATACTTGAATGATTGCGCGAACAAGCCTTTATTTTTGGTTTTTGTCTTTATGACCATTTTCTATTTGCAATAACGAGATCTAATTTTTTAATATCCTGGTTTTCAGTATAGGATAGTTCATCATTTTTATTTTATTTTTTCAAAATCTATTATATCTTGTGCTTGGTTTTTGTAGGATCATATCGTACTCCGAATTTCAATAACTAGAAAGGATGTTGTAGAATTCATTTATCATTATCATAGTTTTTTTGTTAACGTTGGGTGTATGTGGTTTTGTTTACGGTGCTTTATGTTTGTATTTTGTATTAAATAGTGATTGAATGTTTTGTTAGAAGAAATAAAAATTGTGTGGGTTATTTAGTAAAGAAACTAAATTGTGTGTTTTGGATTTTGGGTTTGGGTTTTGCATAGTTAAAATTTTGAAATAGAATAGTTGTTTGATGTTTTGAATGTAAAATTAATTTTTAGTATAATATAAAAAAAAAAAGAAAAAAGTGTTTGATTTGATATTTTTGGGAAAATTTTTTTATGTAATAGTCAAAATCCTTCAAAATACCCCAAAACAAACACACAACAAAGCCCTTCTTATGCTTTATTACTTGTTCTAGATGATTTTTTTGGAGTGGAAATTAGTGGTTGGATTGAATGCTTTGGTATGGTTTAAGTGTTGAAAATTGTGTTTTTGGCAGGAAAGAAGTTTTATTCCAAAAAAAAGATCGAAAGAATACAATGTTTTAAGTGTTGATGCATGTTTTGAGGCTAGTATATGTGTGAAGCTGATTTGTTTCTTAGTTTTGTTTAGTTTGAATTTATAAATAGTAAACATTGATCATTAGGTAGGAATTATGATGAACTTAAGAGATTAAAGAACTAACATTAGAAAGGGAATGAAATCGATAGAAATTAAATATAGACGAGAATAAATAAATGGATAATTTGAATAAAAAATATACTGGATTATGGATATGTTCTTATCATATTCATATTATTATATTTAGTTTTCTAAAGAACTGTCAGACATGATTAAACAAACTTGGCTACAGCAAAATACAACTCAAAAGTGAGCTTTACTTTAATTTTTTTAGAATAGAAATACACACACTTATTAATGTATGTAAACATAGACACACTGCCCATAACACATAGAGTCTCCTTCACATCCATCTGTGCAATTCCAATTCCATCGCCGCGGTTTGTGTTGATTCTCCATTCTGTTTTTGCGATTTGATTAAGAGCACAGGTTGTATTTTAGTTGAGTGTGAATCCATTTGTTTCGATTTTCACTTTTACCCTAATCATGTGCTGTTTTAGGATGCTGTAGTTATGTGTAGTCTGCTAGTTTCTTGAAAATTCTGCGATTCTGATGGGTTTTAGAAAGCATTGGCTGATGATTTGGGTCGTATTGCTATGGTTGATTTCTGGAGGATCCGAAAGCTCTACTAGGGATTCTTTAGATAGTTCGATTTCTGACTTTGCTTTGAAGGAACTGCCTAAGCCTCGTACAGGTAAACTTTACAAAGTCCCTCTTTCTGCAAGATTTTCAGGCATGGAAGTCTCTGTGATTCGCCTCCGAGCTAGCAGTTTATGGAAGAACGGAGTTAGTTATGGCTCAATCAAAATCCCACCGTTGGTGTTGCCGTCTCCTTTTGTAAGGAGACTTGATTTAATTTATAAGAATCTAGGTAATTGGTCATCACTTTACTATAGTGTGCCGAATTACATGATGATTACTCCGGTGATAGGATTCTTAGCGTACGATCCTAATAGAAGTTTCACGAGGTATGATCTGATTGAGCTTGAGCTTATGGGGAATAATTCATTTATCGTTAATTTCCCAAATATTTCTGCCAAGGGAGGTGGGGATGGTGGTGTGAAATGTGTGAAGTTCGATAGGAATGGGACAATTGAGTTTAGAAATTTAAGCGGTGAAAGATCGTGTGTTTGGAGGAGACACGGTCATTTCTCTCTTGTTGTGCCTTATGGAGCGAAGGGGGAGATGAATAGGAGGCGGTGGCGGCGGCGGCGGCGGTGGTTGGTGGTGGTGGTTGGAGTCGCAGGGTTGATCTTTGTTATTGTGGGTGGTGTTGTGATTTTCCGGTGGACGAAAGGGAGAATGATGAAGAAAATGGAGGAATTATCGGAAGGCGGTGAGGGCTTAGGCGTGATTTGGGTTGGCCGGAGTAGAATGCCGGCTGCTCTGAGTGTTCGGACACAGCCGGTTCTTGAAAATAGATCGGTTCCCTAGTTTGTTTGTTTTTTCTTTTTGGTGTAGATTTATTGCAAGTTGTTTGGGTGTATTTTTTTTTTTAGGCAAACCATGTAGCAGATGACCTGAAGCGTCGGAAGTTGCAGTTACCACCGAGCCATCCCTTGCGGGAGTTGCTTGATTTGAAGGTCTTGTGTTTTTTTTAGGCGAATTTGGAATAACTTGGTGATTGCTTATTAGTTTGTTGTGCTGTAGATTTGATTACAATAGAGATTTATATCATCTTTTAGTTTGTTAATATTTTCAGCAAAACCAGCAGCTGCATCGATGGTTTCTCCTGTCCAGAATATGGAGCATATAAACAAACCCAAATTTTTTTTTAATAATTTGTCATTTTTATAGAATTTTATACATATATATATTTTTATGTAATCTTACTTATTTTATAATAATATAAATATTGATATTCTTTATAAAAAAATAATTTTTATTTTAAAATAAATAACTTTGATATGAATATATATTTTATTGACGGTGAAAAAAATATTTTTTGAAAAGATTGTGGTTGTTCTACGAACACAATAAATATGTTGATTTTGTTTTTAAAAAAATAAATAAATTTTTAATTTAAAAAAACAAATATCTTTTTTTTAAAAATTAATATATGTTGTGACGCATTTATTTTAATTAGTAATAGTCATTTAATAATACATGTGACATAATATTATGATGCAAGAAACTAAGTGTGATGACTATGGTTTTTTATATTGCTTATAAATAGACTATTATATCAAATGAATTATTAGGTTTGATATTAAAGTAGTTTACTCTCTTTTACTCCTTCACTATCTATCGTCTCTCTTCTCTCTCACTCTCTCTCCCTATATGTTAAATATACACACTTTTTCTCCCTTCTACTTTATCTCTCTAAATACATACATATATATATATCTATACACATATTACAATATCTATATTATTATATATTATTATTAGTAATAATATTTTTATATTTTATTATATATTTTATAACACGTTATCAACACGAGGCTTTGTTGAGAAAGTGCATATAAAGATAGCGTATTTTTTTTTTTTGTTTTTGTTGTTGTATTTTAGGTTACTTGAAAGGTTGCAGACTTTCTGAAGAAGAAATATGAATACTGAGCACATTATAATGAATAATATGGAAGACAATTCATGTCTCATTGATAGTGCATCAACGCACACCATTTTGAAATATAATAAATATTTCACCAACCTGAAGTTAGGAAAAATTGAGGTGAATACCATAAGTGGTTGTGCGAAGTTAATTGAGGGCTCTGAAAGAGCGATAATATTTCTCCCCAAATGAGTAAAACTTGATATTCAAAATGTATTATATTCTAGTAAATCTCAAAGAAATTTGTTGAGTTTTAATGATATTCGCAGTAATGGATATCATATTGAGACATCAAGTGAGGCAAAAAATGAATTTTTGTTAGATTACAAAATTCATTGATGGACATTAATATATATTAGAAAAATTGTCTTCATTGTCTTCCGGATTATATTGTACAAAGATTAATGTGGTTGAAACATATCTGGTAGACCAGAAGTTTACAGATATTATGATTTGGCATGACCAGTTTGGGCATCCCGGTAATACTATGATGAGACGAATTATTGAAAATACCAATGGCCATAACTTGAAAGATCAAAGGGTATTAAATACAAATGAGTTTATATGTGTTGCTTGTTTAATGGAAGTTAATAACTAGACCATTGCCAGCAAATGTGGGAACTGAATACCCTTTCATTTTTAGAACGAATTCAGGGTGATATATGTGGGTCTATAGATCCACCATGCGGACTATTTCGATATTTTATGGTATTTATCGATGTATCCTAGATGGTCGCATGTGTGTTTATTATCCACCCGCAATTTGGCATTTGCGAGGTTGCTTGCTCAAATAATTAGATTACGAGCTCAGTTTCCAGATCACCCAATAAAGAAAATTCGTCTTGATAATGCTGGTGAATTTTCATATAAGACATTTGATGATTATTGCATGTCTATTGGAATTGACATTGAACATCATGTACCTCATGTACATACTCAAAATGGTCTAGCTGAATCACTTATAAAAATGTTGCAATTAATCGCAAGACCTATGCTAATGAAATCCAAACTTCCCGTATTTGCTTGGGGATATGCAATTATGCATGCAGCAACACTGATAAAATTAAGACCGACAAGCTATCATAGCTACTCCCCAGTGCAATTGGTGTACAATGAAAAATCCAATATTTCACATTTGAGAACTTTTTGGTGCACAATTTATGTGCCAATTGCACCGCCCCAACGTACAAAAATGGGCCCCTAAAGGAGATTGTGGATATATGTCGGGTACGAATCACCATCTATTATTAAATATCTTGAACCATTAACTGGTGATTCGTTTACGGCTTGTTTTGCTGATTGTCATTTTGACGAGTCGCATTTCCCGACATTAGAGGGAGAAATTGATCAACTGAAAAAGAAAATTACTTGGAAAATACCATTCAGTTTTCTTGATCCTCGTACAAGTCAAAGTGAATTAGAGGTACAAAGAATTTTACATTTGCAGCGAATAGCAAATCAGTTGCCTAATGTTTTTTGTGACGTCAGCAGGGTCACTAGATCTTATATAGCTGCTGAAAACGTACCTGCTAAAATTGTTATTCCTGAAGAAAAAATACAAAGTGCTAATGAATCAAATGCATGGCTAAAGCGTGGCAGACCTGTAGGTTCCAAAGATAAAAATTCTCGAAAGAAAAGAGGAACAAATGAAAGGGTTGAGGATTTGAATGTTAATCAAAACCCTCAAAAAGCAGGTAGTAACATGGATCAGATTTCTAAAGAAATTGATCCTGATAAACTTGATGAGGATGTTAATCATAATAGAATTTCTTCTGAAGAGAATGAAATTATTAAAAATTCAATAAATTATGTTATTATTGGAAAATATTGGAATCGAAATGATACAATTATGGATAATGTTTTTGCATATAATGTAGCACTTGATCTAATGGAAAATGACGATGATCCAGAACCTAGGTCAGTTGATGAATGCCAGAAAACAAGAAATTGGCCAAAATAGAAAGATGCAATCCAGTCTGAATTAAATTCACTGACAAAACGGAAAGTTTTTAGACCCAGTGTTCAAACACCTGAAGGTGTTAAGCCTGTTGGCTATTAATGGGTATTTGTTCGAAAGCAAAATGAGAATAATGAAATTTTCAGGTATAAAGCAAGACTTGTTGCCCAAGGTTTTTCACAAAGACCTGAAGTTGATTTTAATGAAACATATTTCTCCAGTAATAGATGAAATAACATTTCGATATCTTGTTAGTTTGACTGTACATGAAAATTTGGATATGTGTCTGATGGACGTTGTAACTGCATATTTATATGGCTCATTAGATAGTGATATTTACATGAAAATCCCTGAAGGATTTAGTATGTCTGATGCATACAAATCAAAGCCAAAAGAATGTTATTCTATTAAATTACAAAAGTCTTTGTGTGGGCTCAAACTATCTGGTCGCATGTGATATAATCGTCTCAGTGAATTATTATTGAAAGAGGGATATGTCAATGATTCTACTTGTCCATGTGTTTTTATAAAGAAATACGGGAGAAATTTTGTGATAATAGTTGTTTATATGGATGACTTGAATTTAATTGGAACCCCCGGAGCGGTCCAAGAAACTATTGAATATTTGAAAAGGGGGAGTTTGAAATTAAAGATTTCGGGAGAACGAAATTTTTTCTTGGTCTACAAATTGAAATTTTGAAAAATGGGATTTTGATACATCAATCTGCATATACCCATAAGGTATTGAAACGATTTTCGATGGATAAAACACATTCATTAAGTACTCCAATGCTCGTTAGAACTCTCGATCCTATTAAAGATCCTTTTAGACCAAAAGAGGAGAATGAGGAAGCACTTGATCCTGAAGTACCATATTTAAGTGCTATTGGTGCACTAATGTATCTGGCTAACAGTACTAGACCAAATATAGCATTTGTTATAAATTTATTGGCCAGATTTAGTGCAATGCCAAGACAACGACATTGGAAATTAATCAAACATATTTTTCGTTATCTCCAAGGATCTATTGATCTTGGTCTATTATATCCAAAAGGATCTCGACATAAATTAATTGGATATGCAGATGTTGGGTATCTTTCTAACCCGCATAAAGCCAAGTCTCAGACTGACTATATGTTTACTCGTGACGGTCCAGTGGTATCTTGGAGATCCACTAAACAAACATTAACCGCCACATCTTCAAATCATGCATGAATAATAGCAATTCATGAGGCCAGTAGAGAGTGTGTTTGGCTAAGATCAATGATTCACCACATTTTACAGAATTGTGGTTTGAAATCTGAAAATGATAATCCTCCTACTATTTTGTACGAAGATAATGCAGCTTGTATAGCGCAACTGAAGGAAGGATATTCAAAGGAGATAGAACGAAACATATTTCACCAAAATTTTTCTTTACTCATGATCTCCAGAAAAATGGTGAAATAAATGTGCAGCATATTCGATCAGACCAAAATTTAGCAGACTTGTTGACCAAGGCTTTACCAACCGCAACGTTCGAGAAATTAGTAAAGATCATCGGGATGCGTCGGTTGCAAGATTTCAAATGATGTCCACATCAGGGAAAGCGATATTTCAAGTGATGTCCACATCAAGAGAAGTATTTTTTAATGCATGAATGACATACTCTTTTTCCTTGACTAGGATTTTGTTCCGTTGGCTTTTTTCCTAATAAGGTTTTAGTGATGCGTATTAATTGCAGTTAATGACACCTATGGGGGGAGTGTTGTGACTCTTTTGTTTTAATTAGTATGTGTCATTTAATAATACATGTGGCATATATTATGATGCCAAGAAACTAAGTGTGATGACTAAGGTTTTGTATATTGTCTATAAATAGGCTATTATATCAAATGAATTATTAGATTTGACATTAAAGTAGTTTACTCTCTTTTACTCCCTCACTCTTTTTCGTCTCTCTCATCTCTCTCACTCTCTCTCTCTATATATTATATATACACACTTTTTCTCTATTCTACTTTTATCTCTCTAAATACATACATATATATATATATATCTATACACATATTACAATATCTATATTATTATATATTATTAGTAGTAGTAGTATTTTCATATTTTGTTATATATTTTATAACAATATATTATTATTATTATTCATTATGTTATATTATTATATAATTCTTTTTATATCTGAAACAAATATATATACATTCAAATAATTTTACAAAACAATTACACCCAAAGACTCTTCCGATTAAATTCTTAATTTTATAGGAAAATCTCTCTTTCTTGAGGTGGATGATTACTGATGGCAGATCTAGCTGTCTCTCAAGAGCAAGCACGCTTAACTTTAAAATTCTTTCAGTAAGACTCTCGAAAAGAAATGTGTACATTGTTGACATAAGTAGTCTATTCAATCCATTTAACTTATATTCAACCTCGGATGGTCTGACACCGGCTTATCCACTGGAGTTGGCCTAGAACTGGCCCAACTCCGGGGGTATCACAGAAACGCACAAGACAATCATTTAAAATTTAATCACAAATCTGATTTCGCAAATCGGTCTTCACAATATTCATTGATGAGAAACATATTTTCACTGTCCCTGTGGCTACCGGTAAAATCAATGTTAACTTCAAAAGTCGATACAATAATGGGTAAGACAAGTGCTTTCTTGTTTGTACTAGCATCATCGAAAGATCAACAAGCCTATCCAATTAACCGAATTTTTCATCTGATCGTACAACTATAATATATGTCTAAAGTTTATTCTCAAGCATCATACGTTCAAGTGAAGAGAAATCAGTTGGATAAAATTGAGATAATCTTTTCAATTTGCTGTATTGAAATCAGCAAAGCTATCACTTGGATTCAAGCTAGCAACAAGCAACTCAGAATTGATCTCATTAAATTGATCGTTTATCTCAAAAATCTGTTGATCCATAATGGCATTAAAACATTCCATATGATAATGAAAATCGTTAGTAATAGATAATCAAAATCATTAGTAATGTTTGTTTTAAGCCGAGGACGATGACGATCAATATATTCATCATTCATATCTACATAATCAATCTTATCTTCATCACAAAAAGTTGTGATCTTACCGAGTAAATATCTCCATTCATCATTTCTTGTTGTTTGCAATTTTTTTTACTTACTTTAACAAGTGTTATAGCATTCAAAATATTCATATCTTATCGTTGCAATGCTAATGACAAGTCATGTGTAAGACCAAGTATAACCAAAATCATTTTCAAATTAAAAGAAAAATCAAATGATTGCAAATATTATAATCACCCGTATGCTTGAGCCTTTTTTGATAAATTTGTAGCATCACACGGAACAACTTCAAGAAATTCTAGAACGGAAGAAAACAAAGAAACCAAATTCAATAATGAGTTATAATGAGACCCTCAATGTGTATCCACTACCCTTTTAAGACTCAACTATTGATTTAGTCCATTTCCAGTCTCAAGAAAACCTCTTTTGATTTCTTCCACCACTTTATCTACTTGTTTTTGTCGAATCATATCTTTACGTTTACAAGAAGCTCCAACAACATTGATCAAAGATGAAACCATATTAGAAAAAGTCTGCAATATTACGTTCTTTCTAGCCAATTCAACAAGAGCTAACTGCAACTTATGAGAAAAAATAATGAACATAGTATGCAGACTGATTTTCTTTCATAATCAAGGTTTTTTAACCCATTAAATTTTTTCTTCATATTACTTGTCCCATCATAGTCTTGACCTCGAATCTTCATCATTCAAACCTTAATCAACAAGCACATTATTAACAACACATTTCAAAGATAAAGCAGATGTCTTCATCACATGAACAATACAAATAAACTTCTCTTTTACATTCCGACAAAAATAAAAAAAAAATCGTACAATCATTGTCATTTTTTCTTTCCCAAATATATCACTAGATTCATCAACCATCATGAGAAATAATAATCTTTGAACTTTTCAATTATTTTTTGCACTATCTCTTGTGCAAAAGAATAAACAATATCCTTTTGAATGCTAAGAGAAATTATTTGACAATTTTTTGTTTTAGAATTCCCCAAAACAACATTACGAACAGTCAAATTTTGATCATCAGTATATTTAAGTAGTTCCAAAAAATTTCTTCTATTTAAAGAATTCTCATTTTCAACATGACCACGAAAAGACAACTCTTGGTACAACAAAAATCTATAAGAATCAATTCAAGCACAAAGCTGAATTCGATATTAATTTCTCATTATATCTGATTGCCTATAAAGAGCAATTGCAATAGATTGTCCTTGTCTCATTAAATCATTGCACTTCTTTAATGATATATTATGAGCACTATTAAAAACACCAACATGGGCATCCAATCTTTCTTTTTTTTATTCTAAGCACAAAACTTTTTATTCACATAAGCTCTACCACCACCTTTACTACTAATTTGATCTCTAAACAAATAGCAACATAACAATATGTTTTATCTTCTTTAACACTATCTTCTAACCATTAGCATATTGATCAAACCAACCTGGATTTAAACGGCGCAATTTACCTACAATCATTTTCTTAGGGAAGTCATGACGTTACGGTTGACAAAAATCCTTTAATAAGTAAGTACTTTTAAATTTATCAACTTGGTTAGGTTGTATTCAAATATAGTTTTTCTTTCTGTAGGATCTGAAGGGAGACTATCCATATCAACAAAATCTTTAGTAGCTGAAGTAATATGAATTGATTAAGAAATACTACTAGTTGCACTTGTAGAAATATCATATCTTAAATCAACACTATTCTCTTCAAAAAAATTTCTTTTAAAATATCTCTCCATCCTTTAAACCAATTTCAAGTTAAAAATCTACATAAATAAATATATATATTTCAAATAGAGCACTACATAAATCAAAAGTTTAAAACAAAACAACTTCAAGCCAAAAAAAAAAAAGGATTGAAGAAAACTCACCGAAGAAGATTAAATAAACCCAAATTGACAACCTCAATTGCAATCCAAATTGGAAAGATTAAAGAAGTCGACCAAATCGTTACCCAAAACAAATGGCCAAATTTTCGATCTTCACGGCTCCCTTCCACTTTTTAGTCGCCAGTCTCATGAGTAGTAAGAAATTGACAATAAAATATTTGAGAGATTAGGGTTTAGATGAAAAATTAAATTAATATATTATATAATTTATTTATTTATTAAAAAAATTTAATGGGGTTGCACGTGGATAAGATTTTTAGATAAAATTTAAGAGAAGATTACGTGATCGCACCATACGTATTCGAAATGAAATGGATTGTGGCCAGAAACAAGCAAGGCGACAAGCACATGCAAAGTAAGGTAAAAATATATTTATGACTTTTTAAAAAAAAAAATTTATTTTGATTGGATAGTAATGAATATATATATATATCAACTATTTTATTTATTGTAGCTGATTTTATTATTTTTTTAATGGATATTTTCTCATTTGAAAAAAGTTTAATCTATTATAGTTAGAATATCTTTTATTTGTCTAACGAATTCAAAATGAAACAGGTAGGATTCAAGTGACTTTATTGCAATATAAGGATTCAAGTATGAATTTTATTGAAGCAGAAACAAACATAGAGGTATCTAAGAATTTTAAATTACAAAGTTTCATTGGTTTATAATTTGCATAATTAACTGTAAATAATAATTCTTGGTTTTTAATTTTACAGGGCATAACCAAGCAAACAAGACCACATGCCTTCAACTCTTTTTATTTTATTTTATTTTTTTTTTTTGTGGAATGAATTTCTTCAATTTTAACTCCTGTCGGGATTATATTAAACATATTTTTGTTTGTTTCCATCATCTATGAAGGACTTCGTTTTCAAGGCATGCATCAACAATAATGCAGTAATACATCTTCGTTTACAAAGCATACATCAACAACAAAAAAAAAAAATACTAATTAGTTGTTCTTAGTTTCCATCAACAATAAGTCAAACGCAATAATACACCTAAGATCATTTGCTCAATACATAAACTGCTTACAAAATTCAAAAACTATAGAGCAGTAATGCAGAAAACGAAAAACTTTTTCATCAATAATATCAACATGTAAGCACCACAGAGCAATACCACAACTGATATAAAAAGCTTCAGCCAAATAGATGGTGCTGCAGTCATTGAACTACCTGAAAGTTCAAATGTAGTACACTTTATTATAACGAATTAAATATTCTATGAAATCATATATAAACAAAATACATATAATAATCTTTTATTATTACAATCATATGCCGATATATTTAAAATAATATATTATAAAAATAACAACTAATTTATGAATTAATTAAATATTTTCAAATAACCTAATCAATAAAATTATACTTACATCATCGATGTCCTTTGTGACCATCAATGCCACAATTTGGAGGATGACTTTGGCGAGTACTTCTACAAAGAATTCGTTGAGCTTCGAACTAGGATGATTGACTTATAGAATGAAAAAATTCACCAATATTCGACCAAACGGGAGAATTAAGAAAGACCTCTTATTCCTGTGACTCCATATTATCTGCTCCTAAAGCTAGTGACGGTGAACTTTCATATATGCCACTAGTCTCATGTACATCAATAGAATGAATAGTAATATACAACTCAGGACTGATCACCATGTACAAAAATAGTTTCGTACGACTCAACTATCCAATTAGCTTGATCATCTGCAACATCAATGACATTTTGTATAATATTAAGGTCTCCTACCTGTGTACAACGCCTACCTACACCAAATAGCATGTGCACAATGAATAAATAATAAGGATGAATTAAAATATATGAGGAATAAGAGAAATCAAATACCGCAAAATAATTTTAAAATAGTAGACCAGTTGGATAACCGGCTTGTGTACGCAACTCCGGATTGTTGATAAACCATCTCGAATGTGTTCTAAATCATTGCAAATATTCTGGAGTATGAGATATATCATGCAAGGTCGACTGCCCATTCACTAAATTAGGTTGATTCCATTGTTGAATATATATATATGATAAGTTTTCAACCAATTTTTTGTGTCGGATACTTGATAAGAACTATGAGTATTCCTATTCTATATCACTGATGGGTTATCTGGAATATGTGAACTAAGTGTAGTTGCTGAAGTACTCTATTTATGAAATGATATACAATACATCGTTCATATAACAAAGATCCTTGGTAACAGAATAAAGTTGAAGGAAAAGAATGTGGTAAACTGGCTTGTAGGCCGCGAATTAAACTGCACAAAAAATATAATATATTTATATTAAAAAATTATAGCATAAAAATTATATAACTATTGAAATTTAATTAAAATACCTTTTCATTTCCTTCATGATCAAGAATATCACATATAGTAGCCACACAACCATGAACAGTCGGAGTAAAATCATTTTTACCCCGAGCCCATCTATAATAACAAATTATAGATCATATTTAAAAATAAGAAATATTTTAATTAAGAACTATCATATTTCTATAAATTACAATACTTAACTCCGTAAGACGCAACAAAAAGCATTACACCATTAGAAAGCATTTGAGGATTGACATCAATAGAGTTTATTGATTTAATTCGATGAGCTAATATATTTAATTGAGACCATGCTCAAATCTAAAAAAAAAATACATAAACAAAAAAATAGTATTATTAAATAAATTTAAGATTCCAATTTATAAATATATATCTGTAACGATGTGAGAGGGGCACTAAGCTTTTTTATTTTTACTCCAATAACCGCTAAACAAAGATTATGATATAGACATTCAAGACAAACGCTTCCTCAACTATACTTTTCAAAAATGTCAGTTTTTGCATATATGACAAGTAAATCAATCTGACCCTACTACCATCTGAATTCGAAAATATGCTACCCATAATCATCAGTAACATAAATCTACGTGCACTCTCCTTTTTCTTCAGGGCTATCATTATCAATTTGAAACTCATCACTCTTCAAATGATCTTCTAAAGTAGAGTGCAAAATCCACGGTCCATGCTTGAAATATTCTGGGTTAAGAGACAATTGTAACAAATCCATACAAATCTTTGAAGAGTACTCTATGGTCTGTGGCATCACTGACAATAGGTTTACCATCAATGAGTAACTGATATATCATGGCAACATTTTCTATTGTAACTGTTGTCTCGCCGAATGTGAAATAGAATGTATGTGTTTCAGGACGTCATCGATCAACTACTGCTATCAAAAGACCAGAATTATGTCTAACATGTCCAACCCTATATACTTCATAAAATCCAATACGATTTCATAGCTCAAGGACCCTAGGATGACATAATTTAGATATACTAGTTCAATATCTTTCCAGACAAACAAGACTAAACTTATGATCAATTAATTTATCATTCCAAATATGCTCATAACGGTGTGTAGATTGAAGATGAAATAGACGATTGTTACTAGGGCTAGGCAATCCCTCCCGATATGAAAATATCACAAAACATTGTCCATATTCCAACTTAAAAATATCAACCTTAAAAATATGTGATTTTCACTTAATATATATATATATATGTAAATAATGCTTATATTGACTTAATTACTAAAAGTTACTATATTTAAATCACTTCTTAGGCCACTTTTTGAAAAAACCCGTGACTCGGAGGGTCCGTTGCCTGCCTCAAATGTAATTGAAGAACGGTTACAAATATTGTCGTTTCACGACAAATGCCAATTTTTCAAACGAAATGATGCATCACTATCACGGTTCGCCGTATCGGCCGAGTTGGAATCGGAACGGAGCTTCTCGTTTCGACTCGGTAAACCTGATATGAAAAACAACTACAGAATAGGGAAAGGTCTTCCCGCCGGACGTATAGAATATGTAACTTAAGGTTTCCAGAGAGAAAAAATTTCGTTGAAAAACCAACTCATGTCACCATGGAATCTATGTTTTGTGAGGAGAATTGCACTGATTTTATTTTTATTTTTAAAAAAAAGGTAAATAGGCTTTGGCTAAGTGAGTTATTATTATAATTATAAATTTATCAGTATATGAATGGATATTTATTGGGAATTCTTAAATTTATGAATTTAATAAATATTTTATTTTTAATTCTATATATATAAAAAGCAATTCAATTAATTTTTGTAAACTTTATACTAATTATGAAGTTATTAACATATTTATGATTTATATTAATAATAAATTAATCACTTAGTATTACATTGATAAATATGGATGATAATGGGTTGGACATGGGTTAAATACAGGTGAATTCAAGATCCTACCCAAATGTATATTACTGGCCAAATCCTAATATACCCGAATCTGTATATATTCGAATCTTACCCGTGATGATGTACCCGTCAAACCCGTCAAATTCAAAAAATTTCAATACTAACTTGACTCGACGGATTTAATTAAAAATATCTATTTATTTTTAAAAAATAAATAAAAAATATATATACAACAAATATAAATATTCACCAATACCGATTTGATGCATCCGTCACCACCACCGCCACCAACACTAAAAAGAAAATTGAACATAGATAATAAAAATAGGAAAAATAATACTAAAATTTATTATTTTAATTAATCGGATTTAAGTTCGGGTTGGGGTTAGATAGGGTCTACTATCAAACCCTGGAGTCGAGGCCTGGACCCTACCTAGCCCTCAAAATTTTATTAAAGATCCGACCCATATTCTACCTAATATCCAAATAATTGGACCCTACCTAAAATAGAAAAAAAAAAAAAAATAGATAGGGTCTAGATCGGATCTACCCCTACCCATGGCTATAGATACGATACGCCGAGACTATTTAGAATGGCCACGGCGGATCTGCGAACAATGATCACTATTAAAGATGCAATCCTGGGGGTAGACTCTCCACACGAAAACTTGTGATTCGATCGCACCACTTTGCTGCATTTTCTGATTTCTTCTTACGCATATGTCCATCGTAATTGTTCGAAAAACGTATTCAGAGTATGCTCGAAAAGTAAAACAAAACATTTCATTTTATAGCTCAGCAATCATTCATACATACATACATGAAGTTGCCGATTATTTCTACTAAACAATAAATTACTATCGCGTTTCAGCCGATGGGCTGAATTTCGCAATACTGATTAAGGTTAAACGGAGGATCAAAATTGGTCCCGGCGACGACAGTGTCCGCGACAATCTTATTAGCCGCTTCCGAGAAATGGATTCCATCCCAGCTCACGTACTTTTCAGGATCTCCGCATGCGGTTGCACTCACCGTCTTCCCGTCGATCTCCTTGCTGTCTCCGCAGAACACGTCGGGGTGGAAGTTAGTCGGTCCGCCTCCGTATCCACAGCACGCCGTGATCCCATGCTTGAATCCTGCGAAAAATTTTACTGGTAAAACTTAGTTCTTGTTCTAACATGCCCTGTTTCTTGATTTTTTTTTTTTTTTTTCCGATGTTTCGTATTTGGATAGTTTGTAAGATCCCGAACCGTGCGACGTCGGGTTCTGGTAGAGTTCTAGAAGCACGGAATGGGTGTCAACGTATATGATGTTCGCGTCTTTGAGCTCCTGCCTCGTCTGCTCGAGCGTGTCCTTGAGCGCCGAGTTGAACTCTTGAACGGCGTTGTTGAGCGAAACCATGCATCCGGCTTTGTCAACGTCGGACGGATCGTGGTTGATCAACGCCAACGACGCGGCATAACATCCCATCGGGTTGAGATTTTGGACAAAAAATGTCCGCCCTCCGATCGAATAGAGCTCCTGCGTTTATCGATGAAAATTAGATTCGATTCGATGAGGTTTATGCAAATAGATTAGCTATGGATGTTGACGATGAGGACCTTGACGGCGTTGGCGATCTCCGAAGTTAATTGTGGCTCGATTTGCTTGACTCCGCCCGGGCCGTCGGAGGCGAACTTGTGGACTACATCGTTGTGGCCAATGTTGATTGTGTAGAGCGCTCTCCCAAAGATCTTCGGATTCGGAAGATTCGACGCTGACGAAAAAGAAAAACGTTAGACGACAGTAACTAAATCTGTTGGCTGACTCTCGTATGTAAATAAAAAATAATAATAATTTATATCCCTAATAGCTTAAATTTTTAGATGAGTTATTATTCAGATCATCTAAAAAAATCGATAAGTGGATCGGTCGATATTCGTTACCGCGGGGCTTGCATTCGACTTTGTTCTTGAACTCTTTCATTTGGTTGATCTGCACGCGCAAGTAGAACGGGCTCGGGCTTACGGTGGAGGCGAAAACCGACATGTCAGGCTGGAGAACGGGAGAAGCCGACGTCGCGAAGTTGGCGCCGTGCTTGAAGTTAGACCCGATCGATTGCAAGTAAGGGCAGACGAACGGCAACCCGAGCGCTTGCGCTGCAATTTTTGTTGAATTCATCTTGACTGATCAGTATACACACGTCAATAGCTGCATTTCGAGTGAGAGTCGAGAAACTTACCGAGGAAATCGATCGGGAGCCTCCCGTCAGTGTATCGACCCGCGGGTGTCCCGAAGAATGTCATGCCGTGGGGCGGGGGAATGGAAGGGAAGGCGGCGGCGAATCCGCCAGTATCGGAATTCGAGTCGCCGAAATTAAAAATAGCTTCGAACGCGCACTTTCCGTGGCTCTCGGGAACCACCGTCGCCAATAGAAGCATCAGAAGAATCGAGACCGGCGCCGCGACAGCATTTTCGCGACTCATTTTTCGGTAAGAATGATGTATCCAAACTCTACGATATTTACACGAAATGCTACGGCGCAAACGTTTATATAGACGATGTAAGGTAGCCGTCGAGCGTCACTAAGGTCGCTCGCCGGAATAAATGCAGACAGTTGAACAGAGGAATTTAGGACAATGTAACTACTCCATTAATGGACTGTTGAGGTTGGTTGAGGTTGCAGGAAGTATGACATAAGCTGACAGAATCGAAAGCTCGACGACGACGACGACGACAAGGACAGGCGAAACCGATACTATGAAGAGGTGGCGTTAGTTAAGGTGTAGGTGGAATTTAATTGCAAGAGTCCGGAAATAGTTAATGAGTGAAATGAACAGGGAACCGATATGGTAATAACTAAACGGTTCCATCTTTTTATTTTAATTATTTTATTTTATTTTTATTTTTTGATTGGATGTTATTATGAAGATTTTGCGCTCGTTGTTGTTCGTATTCGATTCGTTTAGTCGATCGATGTTCTATCCTGTGTATACAATTGTTAGTTGATTGAGTTAAATTTTGAAGTTCGAAGTTATTTTTATAAAATTTGATTAGTAATATGATACTAAAAATGATAAAATTTATTAAGTTAGATTATAATAAGTTATGATTTATTATTTTATTGTTTACTTTGTCTCTTAATAATTTGTTTATTTTTTTATTTTGGTTAATTTCATAATAAAATATTTTTTTTTTAAGTAACTGTACTTTCTACTCACATTAAAAATATCCTTATAAATTACAATATATTACAAAACTATTATTATATTTATATCACACAATACTAATAACGTTATTTTAGTCTTTTCAACTTTATTTATACTACATCTTAATATAATACTAATATTCCTAAAACTTTATATAAAAGACAAACAGATAGATAAGGGACGGAGGGAGTATTTTTTTAGGTAAATATTGTTGTTCGTAACTTTAAAATAAAAATTAATATGAATATATACTCTCTATGTCCTAATTCAAATATTTCTTTACTATTCGTCAAACTCAAAAGTATATCTTTCTAAAAATAATTATACAGTAATATCAAAATACTCTTAATTTTTATTTAAATTATAAACGTACTATTACACATACAATTACTTTATATATAAAGTAAAAATATTAAAATCTTTTACACACTCTCACTAACTAAAATACTATTATTTCTTAATTTTCTATCAAATTTCAAATAACATCTTTCAAATGAAACTAAGGGAGTATAATGTGAATATTATTTTGTTAGAAAATAAAATATTATATAATACACAATAAAAAATACTTATTTATTTCTAATTACCATAAATTAATTTTATAAAAAAAATAAAAAATTGTAAATATAAATAAAAATAATTATTTATCGAAAAAAGATAAAAATAGAAAAGTTTGAGTATTTCTTATACTTTATCTGTCTCACCTACCATGTCCACGTTGCGGTTTCATGTCACTTTCTTTTTTTGAAAAAATGATTACATACTTTAATCTCATTTTAATTTTTTTAATTTAAAATTTTTTAATTTTAATTAAACTAATTAGTTATTTTAATCATAATTAATAATTATTTATATAATAGGATAATTATTTTTACTAATACAATTTTAATTACCTACTAATTACACATATTCTAAATTCTCGTGTCTACAGTAACGCAAACATCCAATGTGAGACGGAGGAAAAGTTACTGTGGTATTTGTTTATAATTATTGTATATATTGTCTAAAAATATGTCATGTGCTAAAATAAATTATTGCATATCTTATTTGAGTATATATGTGATGTTACTTAATGTGTTGTATTTGTATTCTATTAATATAAATGATACATTGTCAATAGTAATATTGAGTGATGTTCAACACGCTGAATTTTAAATTCATAGCAGCCGGCGATATATAATCTACGATTTTATAAATTAATTAATTTAAATTTATATTTCTTAAATATATTTTAAATGAATATAACTTATTTAAAATAAAAATATATAAACTATTAGTATAAATAGACACCAACTTTTATTATTTTTACAATTTTTTCTTAATTTGTACTACATTTTGATATAATAATTAATATTCAAATATCAACTTCCAAAAAGTAAATGAAATTCTTAAAATCGAACGGAGATAGTAGTAATTTAATTTATTGATTAGTAGAAATACGTATAATAATTTTTTTGATATTTTTATTTTTCATAATTTATGTATAAATTAATTATATTATAATTTTATAGTTATAATTTATATAAAAATTAATAATATTTTAATATTAATATAGAATTTTACTTTTACGATAATAATAATAAAAAAAATATTTTGAGTGAAATTGACAAAAATAAGAAAAAATACTTTAAATTGAAAAAAAAAAAAAAAAAAAAAAAGAAGAAGAAGGAGAGAGAGAGAATTAAGCCCATAGGATGTCGTTAAAAAACAATGATCGTAATATTACTATTTTTTACTCTTAAAAAAAATAAAAAATAAATAAAGAAGAAGAAGAAGTAAAATGATAAAAATGACTGTTTTGTTTTTTATTTTTATTTTTGATAAAATCAATCATATGGAAGCTTGAGGCAGCCGCTCCCAACTCCAATTTATTTATCTATTTATTTTAATTGTAAAAAGAATAAAAATCTATATAATTATGCAAATCGCCCCCAACTCAAAAGGTTAAATTGCACAAAATTCATTTGTGATTTTATGAAATTGCACTAAATTTCTCGTACTTTTAAAACTGCGTCAAACTTTCTCGTGGTTTCATAAAATTTGCATTTAACTCCTAAAGCGATCCATATTTAACGGTATTTGACCTAAATGAGCTCAAACTGCAAATAAATTTTAGAATCTCAATTTCTAAACCCCTAAAATTACAAATATATTTATTTTTTATATATTTAGCCTAAAAAATAGTAAAAATAAACTCTTAAAACCTAAAAAAAATAACTATTTTTTAGTATATTTACTATTTTCTTAGGGTAAATATAAAAAAATATATATATTTGTAATTTTAGGGGTTTATAAATTCAGATTCTAAAATTTATTCGCAGTTTGAGCGCGTTTAGGTTAAATACCGTTAAATAAAGACCACTTAGGGGGTTAGACGCAAAGTTTATGAAACCACAAGGGAGTTTGACGCAGGTTTAAAAATATAGGAGATTTGGTGCAATCTCATGAAACCACGGGTAAATTTTGTACAATTTAGCCTTTTTTAAAAAAAAAAAAAAATATTTTTTAGCGTAATTTAAGTAATTATATTTAGGGTGTGTTTGTTTGGAGGATTTCTAAAAATTTTTATTATTCATTATATTTTTTTTTAAAAAAATATCAAATCAAATATCTATTTTTTAGTTTTTATATTATATTAAAAATTAATTTTACATTTAAAAAAATCACATCTACACCAATTTATATTACATTATACAACTACTCAAATTTAAAAATTTTACTATTTAAATTCCAACTTAAAATCTAAAGCCCCGATCGGATACACCTGAAGGGAATCAAATAAGGTGTATCAAATCGGTGGAACTAAACTTGTTCTTCCTATCGCTAGAGCTTGATAGCTGATTCTGTCATTATGTGAGGATTATTTTTATTTATATTTTTATTTTTACTTTTTGTATAATAGTCATTGAAATATGCGTTTTATAATAATAATAATAATAATAATTTATTTTATTGAAAATCACTGAAATTGTTCGGGAAATAAAAAAAAATTAAGAAAAATATTAAACCCCTAAATACTTGATATAGCAAGAGTTATTAAATATTACGTGGGACTGTACAAGTAAGTCTTGTGCAGATAGTAGTTATGTCTTATCTTACTATTTTATATTCTGAGTCTATCTCTTCTCTATCTGAAAAAAATCTATCAAGATTCACAATTTATGATAGTTCATGACCAAATAAAAATAAAGGCTTTCTTGAATAAAAGTAATGGCGTTGGGTTGGTAAATTTGGCGTCGGTTGAAAAGTACTATGCAGATAGTAGTTATGTCTTGATTTATGATAGTTCATGATCAAATAAAAGTAAAGGCTTTCTTGAATAAAAGTAATAGCGTTGGGTTGGTAAATTCGACGTCGGTTAAAAAGTACTGTGCAGATAGTAGTTATGTCTTGATTTATGATAGTCCATGACCAAATAAAAGTAAAGGCTTTCTTGAATACATAAGGCTTTTCTTGAATAAAAGTAATGGGGTGGGTTGGTAAATTTGGCGTCGGTTGCTCCAACCGATGCCAAATTGTGCGCCATTTTTTTGGCATTGTTACGGTGCAACGCTAGTAGCAACGTCAAAAAATGGCGTTGCTTCTTTTTGTTTTTCAATTTTTAAATTTTTATTTTTAATATTTACATTTATTTTTTATTTTTCTAAATTTTTAAAAAATTATTTTAAATTATAAAAATAAAAAAAAATATTTAAAATAATAGGAAAAATTGAATATTTGAAGAATAATAGTGAAAAATAGAGTTATGGTTGGAATAAAAAATTGCATATTTAGAGTTAAATTTGGATAAATAAAGTTGATAAGTTGAAGATGGCCTAACAATGGCCGTTGTGTGTGTGTTTTTAAATGATTTAAATATTTTCTTTTATTTGAATATTTTATAAATGTGAATAATGTATTTTTATGAAACTTTGTAAGTGTTATTAAAAAATATAAACAAATCGAGATTTTATATAAAAAAAAATTGACGAAAATTTTTTAATCATATTGTATATATATGTCGGCTAAATTAGAATGAATGGATATGATTTAAACCCTATAATGGACGATCAAGATGAAGTTTATTTTTTAGACGTGGGTCAACAAAAGGCAAAGTGGATCGCGGGTCATGAGCCGGGTCAAGCTCCAGGTGGGTTGTGTATCGTGGGCCAGGTTCATGGTTCAACATGGATCGTAATGTTGGTTATGTTGTCTTTAATATAGGATGGATTCATGAATTTGAAAATCCAACAAATTCTCCGGATGATTTTTAGTCCGATTGGCTGGGTACATCATTACCCATATTTTTGAATTATTTTACGTGCACAAAATAATAATAATAATAATAATAATAATAATAATAAAATACATAATATTAGTATTAAAAATATTAATTTAGCCTACCAACTACTCTAAGTAGTATAAAATTAATCAAAAGTATTACAATGTATATTTTTCATACGAGATACAAATTTGTTTGCAGATAAAATTTTAGTACCCATATCAGCTCGGTTATATTCAGAAGGAATCTTTTTCAATATTAATATTTCTTTACGTACAATATCATGTATGAAATGAAAATGCACATCAATATGTTTGGTTCTGTCATGGAATACATTATTTTTACACAGTTGAATTCCAGACTGATTGTCCGAAAAAATAGTAACAATATGTTGCAAATAACCTAATTTATTGATTAAGACCTTAGTTATTACTACATATTCGGATTCTGTTGTAGACAGAGCTAAAATGTGTTGAAATTGAAAATTTCAACTTATACAACTTTGGTAAAGATATACGAAGTTGTACTTTTTCTACTATCTCTATCATTTGCATAGTTTGAATCCACAAAATTAATATTTTCAGTATGTTTACCGGAGACAAAACCAACATTGATTGTATCAACTAAGTATCTAAAGCACCATTTTAAAGCATGCCAGTGTTCTAAATCTGGGTTCGACATATACTTACTTAAACAACTAATTGCATAGACTAAATCTGGTCTAATGTTAATCATTAAGTATATTATGAAATCTATTGCATTAAAATAAGACACATATTTCATATATTTACAATCACATTTAGATTTGGATATTGATCCTTAATTAGCACAAAATTAGAAATCATAAGAACAAATTTAAAATCACTCATTGAATTTTTCTTTTAAAATAAATCTTGAAATATAGTTAGACTGCTTGAAAAATAGTCTAATTTTTTTTTTTTTTTTTTTTGTATCTCTAAAATCATGCCAAAATTATCACTCAATACCTAGTCCCTTGATCAATTAACTTTAAACAATGACTAATAATCAACATATTATCTACATAAATAAGAAAAAAAATGGGCTGGCTTTTAACTGTCTTAAAATACAAACAATAGCCAATGCAAATAAATAAAGCTATTTTTATTTAAGTTCAATAAAATTAATAAAAGTAAAGCCCATTTACCTAAAGAACCAATTTGGGCCTTGGCCCAATACATAGAGGCCGTGGGCGGCACCTGACACAGTGACGTGGCGAATGACGTCACGTGGCATATATGTGATTCATGAGCTGGCACACGCTTGCTGGTGGACCCACCTGCCAGAGCCCCCGCAGGATGACACGTCAACGTGGTGGGTCCCGTGCAAAGCACGTGGTGATTGGCCTCATGATTCCTCGCTGTCTCCCCCCCCACGGCGCACTTTAGACCCATCCCTCGACCATATCACAACCTCCACTTTACGGTTTACAATTTTAAATTTATTTAATTAATTAACTAATTAATTAAATAATTAATTTAATTAAATATGAGATAATGTGACGAGGCAAAGTACACGTACGTAATTGCACAAGGAAACGTACATCGTGTTTTTGACCAGCGGGGCGTGGGCCCCGCATGCGGATTCCAAAGCCTCTATCAAATCCGACTTAATTTTAGGGACACGTCATCAGCACAAACGGTTGATTGGATCGCTGAAACGTACCGTCAGGATTGAGCTTGTTTGTGACACGTGTACGGATGAGATTTCGTCGGAGTCATTGTTTTTCTTTCCCATTTACTTGGTTTGACTATTTTAGGTTTTCATTTATTATTATCAATTATTTTTGGTGAGTATGATTTTTTACTTTTTGTTTGTAATTTTTTGTAATTAGTTGTATATTGTTAGTATTAAATTGCTAGCATTTTTTATTTTTATTTTTAATTTGAAATTTATTGCGATAATAAAAAAAGATCCGGGGGACCGATTTGGGGTATCTGGAAAGTGGCGGGGTAAAAGTGGAATTTGAGCGGTATATCGTTTACAGCAAGAGGACACGTGTCACGTGACATGGATTGTTGGCTTGGCGCTCTGGTCCATCATCTTCTCCTTCCTTACTTCCGTTCCCACTTTCTCTTTCTAATAGAAAATAATCTCGCCCGTGCTCTGCGATTTCTAGAGAGAGAAAGAATGCGGGGAGTCTAGAATTCGGTGTTGGATTTGGAATTTGATTCTCCCTCGAGGTACGTTGAGTTATGAGCTTTGATTTTTGGATAAATGTTGGCGTAAATCTTGCAATTTTTTAGGTTGCGTGGTTGTTGATCACTGTGTTTCCTCGTATTGTTGTGTTGAATTTGTTCTAGTCTCGTTTTTTTAATCTGCTGTTTTGACTTTGAGTTTTTTTTCTTCTTGTGAAATTAAATCTATTTTGTGGTTTGTGTGTATGAGAGAGAGAGAGAGAGAGAGAGAGAGAGAGAGAGAGAGAGAGAGAGAGAGAGAGAGAGAGAGGCAGAGAATGAGTATTTTGATTTGGAAAAACGTTACTTCTCGGTTTACTAATTTAGTTGAGGACGGCTTAAAATTCGGATTCGTGAGGTTGAACTCGAGAAGTTTTGAAATCGATGTGTTTAATCGAGAAGCTTTACATTGCAGTAACATATACATAGAGTTTGCGAATTGAATCTCTCCGTTGCACGCTCTGTTATTTACGGACGTCTTTGGGTGAGTTCGCGTATATAAATTCTGTATGGTATTCCTATTTTCGTCTTTGAAATTTCACAATTGGGGTTGACCAAGATAAATTAGTCATCTCATGATCGGTTCTCTTGGACTGCAAACAGCAGGCAGTAGTCTTGTCTGTTACACCATTAAATGGAAGAACAGAGTGAAAGGACCACAAAGCCCTTGCTGGTTCTTGTCCTCTCGTTCTTGCGCCTTATGCCTGGGAATATTTGTGCCTTGGATCTTAATATTATGCAGCTAGATTTGTCCAGTAAACAAATTATTTGTAGTTTAGACAGATATTATGATCCTTGTCCCTGGTTTTAGATCAATTAAGTGAAGAATTTATGTTTAGCCACTATAAAAATGCTATAACGTAAGTCTTGTTTAATTTTGATTATCATGTTGATTGCTTGTAAATTTTCTTCTCCATAAACATCCCAGGATTAAGCGTATCATAGCACTTCAGACTAATTTGTTCATTTGGCTGATTACTTAAATGCATAACCTACAATTTTGTTATTACATTTTGCTTGTATAGCTCAGATATCTGCAATCTCAATTCGGTGAACGGAAGATACTGTTGGATTTAGTTGCCTGTAGTGTAGTGATTAGTAGCAGCGATGGAACATAGCGAAGAGGGACAGCCTTTGAAGCCTGAAAAATCATCTTCTCCAGCAAAAGTGGTAAAGAATATTTCTCAAACTAATTATGTGATTCAATGATCTTTTGAATGGGATGATCTTGTCATGCCCATTCTAAGAAAGTTCTTATAAAACTTGCTTTATGAGATACTTAAAATTCAATTTACGTCAGCAGGACCAGAATAGCATCCCGACGTATCCTGATTGGGCAGCAATGCAGGTGATGCTCTCAAACCAAGTTTCTTCAAAGACGGTCAAGAATTCATCTGTGATTAGAAAAGCATCAATTTGGGGTTTTCCTTGTGCTAATTACTGCTGATAATTCCTCAGGCATACTACGGTTCTCGATTTGCAATACCATATGTAAGCTCAGCTGTTGCTTCTCCACATGGCCACCAGCCCTATTTGTGGGTACCACCACAGGTATAAATTAATTCCAGCTGATGGTTATTATACAGATGGCAGGATTCTGACCTGGAATAATTCGTATTTGTGTGTTTTTTAGTCCATGATTCCGCCTTATGGGGCTCCATACGCTGCATTCTATGCTCCTGGTGGTTTTTTCGGACACACTGGAGTTCCAATAGTAAGTCACACACATGGTTAATTTAATTCTGCTAATTAAGTTTGTAGTCCAGACAGGCTATAATTGTCTTTTTTGCCGTTACTTTGTGTTAGCTTTGAATAATCATTGGGGTTAATGACCAAATGATTCTTTCCCAGGCTGGTGCTGGTTTTAGTGCTGACACATCAGTGAAAATACCAGGCAATACCGATGAAATGAAGAAGTCTAAAGATTCTGATCCGCGTGCAAAATCAAAAGACAGTTCTAATGCCGACAGTGGTGAACATGGAACTGATCATAGACTCTCTGAAAGGTTTGAAGAATAATATTAGGCCAGGAAGAAATATAAACTACCTTTCTGCTTATCTATATTGGGATTGCATGACGTAGTCATCTTTTTAATGAACAGCGAAGATACTGGAGGGTCTAGTGACGGAAGTAATGGCGTCACGCATGGGGTAGAACCTCAAACTATGAGGAATCGTGTTTGTTATTCAGTTTGTTATTATGTTATTTTTTAATTTCCTTTTATGTTATCATTTAATAGGTTGATGAAAGTGGTAAAAAGAGAAGCCGACAAGGATCTCCAAGTAAGTATCTTTTTCTTTCTTTACTTTCTTTTCAATTATGACACTTGTCTGATCCTGCAACCTTCCGTCTATAGGCGATGGAGAGGCTAAGAAAAAGCAACGTGCAGCTACTGCTGCTGAAGGCTGTCGAGATTCTGGGAAGGCAATTGAGTTGGCAAAAACCCCAGTGGAAAAGATCGAGAAATCTGATTCTCCACTCCTCGACGTGAAGCTGAGTCCAACCAACACACCATATCCATCGATAAACAATGAAGCATTGATGCAGGTAGTCAAACTGGATGTTTCATTTTTAATTTATTTATTTTTTCCAATTTGTCATGCGGATTCGATCAACGACATTAAGTGAACATATTGAATTCGACATTTAGACACCTATAAAGATTTGATTAGGCTTTAGGATTGTTGAATGACTATTAATATATTCTTTATTTGTTTGTATTTACTTTCCTTAACACCCATGCATAATTCAATTTCATAATATCTTGCCTGTTAAAACACTTTTTCATGCACGAGAGGCACTTTTTCATGTTAAATCATCTAGTTGCTTTTTATCGAGGAACTAATTTCTGTTGATTATCGTCTTTCATTATTTTATTCCCAGAATGAGCGAGAGCTGAAACGAGAGAGGAGAAAACAATCCAATAGAGAATCTGCTAGAAGATCTAGGCTTCGTAAACAGGTGTGGCCACCGAATACCATATCCTAAATATGAATTATAACATAAAAATCTTGAATTATTAAATGTCAATCACCCTTTTCTGCCCTTTCCATATCCAGGCCGAGATGGAGGAACTTACTGGGAAAGTTCAAGTACTGACTTCCAAGAACATGACTCTCAAATCTGAGATAAATAAATTAATGTTAACCACCGAAAAACTGAAGCTCGAAAACGTCGACCTAATGGTATGTCTCCCCTTCACGGCATATCCAAATACCGCATGCTAATTAATGGATCCTCCTCTTAAAATATTCGACAATTCACATCTTCAGGAAAAACTCAAAGCTGCCCTGAAAGAGAGAGCAATCGACAATCCAATACTGAAACCAGACGGCACACAGAATCTGCTCGAAAGAGTAAACAAGAACACTTCCAATGACGATGGAGACTCGTTCGAGAAGAGCACCCCCATGGCCAAGCTTCACCAGCTCCTCGACCCCAGCCACAGATCGGATGCTGTAGCTGCAAGTTAATTCGCCGAACCTATACGTCAATTGACTTCAACCCATGCCGTACCGGTACGCTTACTTCTGATTTGCAGTTAAAGTTAAGAGACTACAGAAATCCAACCTTCCTTTTTTTAGAAAAAAAAAAAAAAAAAAAAAAAATTTAGAGCCTTTATCACCAATGCTGGAATTGATTTTTAAGACGTGATTCCTGGGATGATATATGATGCTAAGATTTGTCCATGTCTGGGAGAATAGTCTAGTCAGAAATAAATAATGATAACAATAATAATTATAGTTATATTTATAATATGATATGTGAGACAGTAAGATGTTTTTTTCAGGTTTTTTTTTGGTATTTATATGAACTATTAGGTGTTATTATTGGACTGATTAGTCAAGGGAGATGATGTATAACTGTATAAGTTGTGTCTAATTAGAAAAGATGAAATAGACAAGGATTTGATGTTGCTAAGATTTTTATAGTTTGTGCCTATCTTTTTCTATTGTCTTCTTGTTGGGAAGAGTTATGGCGAGAAGTGTTCTTTGTAAGTAGTTTGTACCGTAGTAAATAAGAGAATACTTAAAATATGACCTCGATAAATTTTTCTTAGAAAAACTTAGCACATGATAGATGGAATATGCTAATTCAATCTAATAAAATGGTTTTTCTTTATTTCTTATTCCTGCAAGATTTCGATTTGGTCGTTGGTTTTGAGATTTTGCTACAGGCGCGGACATTATTGGTAAGAAATGTAACATGAAACAACCAAAATTAAATTGTGGTTGCAACAATTACAAAAGCTATAAATTAAAGGCCGGCTTTGTTTAGACGAGATTTTTGGAGGTTTTCGAGGTATTCGGAGGTTTTAAAATTTGAAAATAATGTCTCTGTGTAAAAAAATATATGATATGATGTCTTGTGTAAGAAAAATACTCTTTGTCCTATATCTATATATTGATTTATTTTTTGAAGTTTTAAAAATATTAGTATTATACTACCTCCGTCCATCGAGGAAGTATTTGCGCAATTGTATTTAACATTAAAAATATTCTTATATATGTATAGTTTACTTAAAAAAAATATGATTGTATTTGTATTATAAGTGACTAATAAATGTATTTTTGTCATTTTCTCTTTATTTGTATTACGTTTTGATATACTAATTAATATACAAAGATCAATCCAAAAAAATTACTATGTAATTTGTGGTTGGACATCAAACTAATATAAAAATAACGATATTTGTGTAATATATTGTAAATTGAAAGAGTATTTGTAATGATACTTTGTGTTGGGACATAGAAAAATAGATATATTGTAAAAGGACGGAGGGAGGAAGGGAGCATATTGATATAAATTTTTTTTTTTTTTTTGAATAAGTTGTTTAGTATCAAAATCTTTAAAATTGTGTAAACAGAGTTTTTTAATATGCAAATATCTTGTTAATTTAGACTGTTAGATTTTGCTATTTAGGCTTCTCCTCAATAAAATCAATAATTTATTTATTTATTTAATTTTATATTTAATATTAAATTTATATTATAAATAACAGATTAATTTTTGTTTTACTATTCGGGATCCCAACTTCTAATCCCACAAACAAATACACACTAGTTGTTCTTCACGACCTATATGCTTACGAGATACCAACTGAATTCAATACACAATCCTTTCAATTGTCGAACCAATTTCAACTATTCATAAACGCATTGATCTTGTTTCATTTGAGTTTTTGTTGTTTTCCATAAAAATGATATACAATTTTTAATTAAAAAAATTTATTTTTATAATATATTAATTGAATTACTATTACATAAATTCAAATTACTACTTATATAAGTTCATACCATACAAATTCATTATTGATAAGAGATGAATAAAAAAAATAAATCTTTTTAAAACGAACAACCAAATAAAATAAAACAATTGTTAGAAATATTATAATAAAAAAAATTAAAAATTGAAAATAGCTTAAAAGAATTTAATAAAGATTTCATTTTACTATAAAATTGAAACACAAAAAAAAAAAAAAAAAAAAGTGAAAATTAACAAACAACACGATTTTGGGTTAAATTTTCTAAAGCAGCACTTATCAACAATAGGGAGACAAAACAACGACAATAACTTCGGCGCTAGCTAGCGAAAATTCTGGCGATCCTATCTCCTATCCAAAGTATCCAATCTGAAACCCTCTTTATTAAATGGACAAAGTTACGAGAAAACAATATATAGGAAATCTCGCAACATGTTGAAAAATAGGTTAATTATTTAATTAATGAAATTTTATTTTAAAATAAATTCGTAATTTTTAGAACCGATTATTCGGTGAGTTGAAATGGATATGAGTTGTATGGTAGCTATTAATAATATGGTTAGACAAATGAATCTCGATAAGCTATAGATGCGCGTGCCATCTGCCCAGACTAAATAATAACACAAATACACGAACATGAGTTTTGTCTTTGGTTCAAATGTCTTGATCGTGGCCATGGGTATATGTTGGGTTTGGTGAATGGTAGACTTGGCAAAATCCATTATGCTCCAGAGCTAAATCACAACAGCAAAATATTTTGTTGAAACCTTATAAAATGTAACCCAAAAGTTTTTTAAAATTCAAAAATTCAAATAATATATTTATGATTGAATTAAATTTGGTATTGTGATTACCGACTATTAAACATCGGCGGTTTCGATTCGAAATATAATCCCTTCAGGGATGGAGTGCCTATAAAAAAGCCACTCTCATCACCCATTTCAAAGGGACACCCAGACTAGTATCTCTTCTCTCCCTCCGAGAGTCCCTTTCCGGTGAGTTTTCCGGAGATATTCCAAGAATTTTCTTTCATGGTCAAACCTTCAACAAAGCTCTTTGTCTCTTCATTTTAGTTTGTTAGAACTCCAAAATATTGAGGTACTATATAATTTAGAGACAAAATGTCGTTTTATCTTTAAGAATGTTACGCCACAAATTTATTTCGATAAATTACTGCTAATATCGAATTTATTTCAATTATCGAATTTTAATTTTTGATAATTATTTAATGTTCTTGAGAGTATTGTGATTAACAATTTTCAAACATGACACTCCCCAAAACTCCAAAGAGAAATTTGCTTCTCGATTATATGGTGAAAATTTTCGGAAAAAAACCATCAAAAAAACACATAAGAGTTGTAGAGAAGAAACACAATACCTTTGGAACTATGATATGTTACGGATGCTATTAAGGGTGTAAGGAGATATATATATATATACATATATGAATGGACGGATATGATTGCAACCCTAGGATCACCCGTTGAGATCAAGTCTTTGGGAAAAATAAATCGTCAACACACAGATCGGGTCACAGATCAACATATGGTGGACTAGGCTGGACAATTGAATCGGGCCAAAACACAATATTTTTCTACCTTTTTGGTCGAGATTCACATGGATAAAAAAACTCATCAAAGCCACACCGATTACTTAATCACACAGTGGGGTTTGATTTTTGGTTTTACTATTTCGAACTTTTTTTTCTCCAAAAAATATCAAATCAAACATTAATTTTTTATTTATTATATTACATTAAAATTAAATTATACATTCAAAAAACATCACATCAAAACATATTTATATCACATCAAACAAATATTTTAATTCAAAATTTTATTATTCAAAATCAAAATTCAAAACCAAAATCTTACAAGTAAACACACTTCATTATTTATTATTTTCATTATATTTAAAATTTTAATAAGATACAATAAATATATTTAATTAATGGGTAAACTGTTTTTTTAGTCCCGTAACTGGACCCCTTTATAATTTTAGTCCCGTAAATGGAGTTTGTCGCAAACTAGTCCCATAAGTGAAAAAATTTTGCTGTTTTAGTCCTCCGGCGCCGGAGACACCCGCGTGGCTCGCCGGAGGTGACGTGTCCGCCAGGTCAGCGACACCTGGCGCTGACCTGGCGGACACGTGGATTATTTTATTTTATTTTTTATTTTTTTAAATTTTTTTAAAAATTATTTTTAATTTATTTTTAATTTTATTTATTTTTTTAATTTTTTTAATTTGATTTAATTTTAAAAAAAATTGAAAAAAAAAATAAATCCACATGTCCGCCAGGTGTCGCTGACCTGGCGGGACACCTGGCGGACACGTCACCTCTGGCGAGCCACGCGGGCGTCTCCGGCGCCGGAGGACTAAAACAGCGAAAATTTTTCACTTATAGGACTAGTTTGCGACAGGCTCCACTTACGGGACTAAAATGATAAGGGGGTCCAGTTACGGGATTAAAAAAACAGTTTATCCTTAATTAATTAATTACACGATGTCACTCACATCTTATATTCTCCCATTTGGCTGAGTGATAGAATATGCATTAATGGTTTAAATAAAATACATAATAAACTTTATGCGTACGAAATATAATAATTCAAATCTTTATTGGCACAAGTCTAACATTGTTCATTAAGTATGTAGTAACATGAGTTAGGTCTACATTATTAAATCGATATAGTTCATTCCATGTACCACATATTGGTTTTATACTTAATATTATTCATAATTGAAAACATCGATAATAGTCTACATTAATATTTAAGATAGACTATAACTTGTTCAAATATTATTAAAATTCATGCGCGCAAATAAATGAACAATAAAACAATTATTTTCAGAAATTATGTATAAGGGAGCTCGAGATATCAAATACATAAAACACAATATTTATTAAATTACATTCATAATGTCCATTCTTTCGACATGTACAATAAATTTATTTAGAGGCAGTCTTTTAGTCAACAGATTCGCAATCATAAGATTGATGCTAATATGTTCAATTGACATATTTTGTTACTGAACTTCTTCTTTAACGACAAGGTATTTTAGATCCATATATTTTGCACATTTGGAGTACTTATCGTTCTTTGAAAAGAAGACTGCCGCCGAATTAGCACAATAAATTTTCAACGCTGTTAACTATTCCAATCCCTAAAATGAAGTTTCTCCGCAGTCAATTTCTTTGAACTGTGGCCTCGAAGCATGCCACAAATTCAGTTTTCATAGTGGACGCAGCTATGACAGACTACTTCGCACTTTTCCATGATACTGGTCCTCCAACTAGTAGGAACAAATACCCGAATTTGAATTTCCTAATATCAACACATCCGACTTAATATGAAACTACATAACCCACCACTTATAGATAATAAGACATTCTGTAAGTGTGCATACGATTTTTTGTCCCTTGAAAGCCTTTACGCCAAAATATTAATGTCATCTAATTTTGGATGGAAAGCCACGGGTCACCCATCCCGAAAGTACCATAGAACAAAAACGTTTAATTTTAGAATTTTTTCAATTAGGCTCCCAAAAAGAAATATACATATTGTTGACATGTGTAGTATATTCAATTAATTTAATCTCTGTTCAACTTCGAGAGTATCGCATTATCCTTGACTTAAGATATAACGTTCATGTCGCACCATAAGAATCAATTGCTAGACTCCTCAACAGTCTGATCAACGATTATAAGCTGTCGTAGGTCAGCTCTGATGTCACTACCAAAATAATGCTCATTTGTAGCGGATTACTATCCGCAACAATTGTTTCGTTTCAAAAGATATTTTTGTATTAAATTTTTTTCGTAGCAATTAGATTTTTGAATTTGGTCAACCCTATTTTTGT